ACCCCCTGCCCAAGCAGGAGACCCTACACCATTTAACAGATTAACAGAGTTGGAAGGGACCGTGTAGGTCATCTAGTCCAACCCCTCGCCCAAGAGGAGACCCTATGCCATTTCACAGATTAGCAGAGTTGGAAGGGACCCTGTAAATCCTCTAGTTCAGAATAATAGCTTGACCCCCTCCTCCTCTCCGGGGCAGCCCCTCAAATATTGGAAGACCGCTATCGTGTCTCCCCTGGTCCTCCTCTTTACTAGACCAGCCAGGCCCAGTTCCTGCAACCGTTCATTGTATGTTTTAGCCTCCAGTCCCCTCATCATCCTGTTTGTTCTTCTCTGTACTTTTTCTAGAGTCTCGACATCTTTTTTATTATGTGGTGGCCAAAACTGGATGCAGTACTCTAGGTGTGGCCTTACTAAGGCTTTATAGAGTGGTATTAGTACCTCCCTTGATCTCGATTGTATCCCTCTGTTAAATCAATTTAGGATTGCATTGGATTTTTTGGCTGCTGCTGCACACGGCTGGCTCCTATTTAGCTGGTTGTCCACTAAGACTCCAAGATCCCTCTCCCAGTTCCTGCTATTGAGCCTGGTTTCACCCAGTTTGTATGTGTCCTTTGGGTTTTTCTTGCCTAAGTGTAGGACTTTCCTTTTGTCTACGTTGAATTTCATTCTGTTAGATACGACCCAGGGTTCTAGTCTGTCCAGATCCATCTTCTAGCCCAGCTCCCTGCCCACGCAGGAGACCCCATTTCATTCTGGACAAATGGCTGTCCAGTCTCTTCTTATCACATGAAAGAGGATTAGGAGACTGGAGCCTAAAACGTGCGAAGAACGGTTGCAGGAACTGCGTAGGTCTAATCTAATGAAAAGAAGGACCAGGGGAGACAGGATAGCGGTTTTCCAGTATCTCAGGGGCTGCCCCAAAGAAGAGGCAGTCAAGCTATTCCCCAAAGCACCTGAAGGCAGGACAAGAAGCAATGAGTAGAAACTAATCGTGGAGAGAAGCAACTTAGAACGAAAGAAAGCCATTTCCTGAGAGTTAGAACAATTAAACCAGGGGAACAGCCCGCCACCAGAAGTTGTGGATGCTTCAGGTTTTTTAAAAAGAGGACTAGACAGCCACTTGTCTGAAATAGTATAAGGTCTGCCGCTTGAGCAGCGGGCTTGACTAGAAGACCTCCAAGGTCCCTTCCAGCTACACAGCTTTAGAAAAAGAGAAGAGACTACCTGCTTCGACCACTAGATGTCACTAGCAGCCCTGGGAAACCAAAACGGATCTGCCTTTTCTTTGGCTAGAGCTGATGGCAGGTGCTGTGAAGCAGAGTCCTCCTCCTCTGCGTGCCCAACCTGGCGCCCTCAGCGAAGCTTGGTGGGTGTGTATCCCCCATGCCTCTTGGTTGGAGAAGGTGTGTTAGGCCTTCAGTGGTTGCCGATCAGCCCAAAGCACCTGGAAAGAGCGCAGAGAAGAGCAACGAAGAGGCTCAAACACACGACGGACGGTTGCAGGATCTGGGCCTAGGCTGGTCTAGGGAAGAGAAGGACCAGGGGAGACAGGAGAGCAGTGATCCAATATTTGAAGGGAAAGGGAGAGAAAGAAAAGGAAAGAACAAGAGAAAGAGGAAGGAAGGAAGAAAGGAGAGAGAGAGAGAGAGAGAGAGAGAGAGAGAGAGAGAGAGAGAGAGAGAGAGAGAGAGAAAGAAAGAAAGAAAGAAAGAAAGAAAGAAAGAAAGAAAGAAAGAAAGAAAGAAAGAAAGAAAGCAAGAGAGAGTGACTGGAGGCTAAAACATACGATGAACTGGGCCTGGCTGGTCTAGGGAAGAGAAGGACCAGGGGAGACAGGAGAGCAGTGATCCAATGTTTGAAGGGAAAGGGAGAGAAAGAAAAGGAAAGAACAAGAGAAAGAGGAAGGAAGGAAGGAGAGAAAGGAGAGAAAGAAAAAAGAGTGAGAGAAAGTGAGAGAAAAGGAAGGAAGGTGAGAAAGAAAGAAGGAAGGAAGGAAGGAAGGAAAGAAAGAAAGAAAGAAAGAAAGAAAGAAAGAAAGAAAGAAAGAAAGA